AAAAAATGTCATCTTAACCCGTCTATATACAAAATGCAATTACGACTCCATTAATCCATTAGAAGATGCCAATTTTAATTACTATTATTATTGTTATAATACTCTCCTAATCATTCAATAATCAGACTGGTTTTGTAAATATGAACTACATGTTAACAAATTAATAATGTTAATTTCAAGTAATAAATCATAAACGTTTCAACCTAATGATAAGCACAAATGTTAATCTCGAATTTCTTGAAAATACCCAACACAAAAAGCCATTCATTTGATTGCATCATCTTCAAATTCCATTTAGAAATCTATTCTTAAAATACTTACTAAAGCAACAAACTAAATGCACCAACAAGTTAAAAAAAAAGAGTGGAGAAAACAGAGTAAACATTTTCGCCGTTTTGCAGATTAATTTCAGCAAACAATTAAATCAAATCCAACCTTTTTCTTTTAAAAGAAAAATACAAAATGAATTTTCATAGAACTGCAAAATCAAATCAAAATAAAAGAAAAAGAAAAAAGTATAGAAAAAAAAAAGAGAAAAAGGAAAAAAAATACATGATGTGCTGCAGATGCTTGAGAGAGTCCAAATCATTAGCATCGATTAAGGTTTTGAACTGACAAGCCACCTCTTTTGACGCTGCTCTTATGGATTCTTTCTCCGATTCCTCCATCATTCTCTTCGATTCTCAATTTTATTTGGTGTTTTTGTCCTCTCTATTATTCATTTATTTTTCGAAATTTCAACTTCACCGACTCCTCTTTGATACGTAGGAGGTTCGGTAACAGCAGGTAAATTTCTGCGTTAAAATACTGATGCGGCGCCAAATGATGATGTGGCGCCAACGTGGCAATACTGATGGAAGCTAAACTACACCGTTTCATTGCCGTTGAACGAAGCCATCTTCTAGTCCACAGGTAGAGCATCGAAAGATTGAACCCCAAACTCCTCTCCTAGAAAGTCCTTAGCCGCACTCTTCCTTGCCCAAACTCCACAGAACAACAAGACGCAGTGGCAGTGGCAGGCACACTCTCTTCATCTTTCACACTTGCCAGAAAAAGAAAATAAGAATGGGAAAAACAGAAGTGAAAGGGACGGTGACGTCGCTATCGTCGATGTTCCCGGCGGAGGAGGCGCAGAAGGGGGCGAAGCGGGTGGAGGAGACGCTTTTAGAGAAGCAGAATGAAATGAACCAACTGAGAGACTTCATCGCCGATAACACCTCCCTTATTAACCTCGTTCAAAAGCTCCCCGACGAACTCCACCACGATATCATGGCATGCCTATCCATTAACAATCAATCGATTTTACTAGGATTTATGCTTCTTTTTGTAAAAATAAAGTGAAGTTTTTTTTTTTTTTAATTTTGGAAGGTTCCCTTTGGGAAAGCGGCGTTTCTTCCTGGTCGCTTGATTCACACGAACGAGTTTCTGGTATGGTACCTTTAAGCTAAAATTAGAAGCTTAATTTTGAAATTAAAAAAGTTTGGCATTTTGGTTTAAGAATATAAACTAACTGCAGGTTCTACTGGGAGAAAGTTACTATGCGGAAAGAACAGCTAAACAAGCTGCTGAAATTCTAAAGAGAAGAGGCAAGTCATTGGAGTCTAAAGTAGATTCGTTGAAGGCCGTCATGCAGGATCTTAAAGCTGAGGCTTCCTTTTTTGATTCCACTGCTTCTGAAGCAGCAGTAAGTTTGAGTATCTTGTTTGGAGTCTAAACTGGATTATCTTTTGTAGCTAGTCTTTACCAATTGTCATGATTCTATTGTTACAGGAGGGTCTTGTGGAGATTAGAGAAGAGTACGAGGATGAGAGTTCTACCCAGAGGGTATCTCAATCAGGCAGGGTCTTGCTCCCTTTTTTTTTTCCTATCAGTAGCGTACCTTTGCAACTTTGGACTTTACTTGATTTAGTAGAGATGAAAATGGAAGCCACTGGATTCTGATTTATGTCATAGACAAAGCTAATGGAACTTTAGTTGCTTCCATTATTTCCTTAACACACTTGGCATCCAACGTCTGTTTAGCACATTGCATTACCGTCTTACTCTGTTCCTATCTTTATATATATATATACACACACACACACACACACATTATCATGCAGCCTACTTATCATATGTTTGTTACTTTCATTTTTACTTGATTAGAATAAAATGGCTATCGATTACTTTTCTGAAGTTGAGGATTATAAGTCAGACGAGACTTTTTCCTTTTTAGATCCACTGGAGCAAGATTCACCTAGTTTCACTGAACCAGACAATACGATGGGTGCATCTGAGGATGAAGAATATGCTCGTATAATGTCCAGGTTGGAAGAACTTGAGAAAGAAGAACTTGCAGCTGAAAGTTATGGAGACGATGATGAAGATCAGGATAACAGTCCCGCTGAAAGTGATGGTGATGAAGAGGAGCAAACTAAAGCTGTTTTTGACAGAGAAAAGAATAAAGGTTACAGTTCTCTTGATCATGATCAAAGATATTCGGAGGTAATGTTGAGACTTGATGCTTTTTATATGTTGAATACAATTATACATTGAATGATTTCTCTGGTTACTTATGACATGGGTGTATCAGTCAAGGAAACCGCTACAGCAGTCAGAAGGCAAAGATCCAATGAAAGAAGAGATGTCTAAAAATTATCATCACCAAGATTTAATTAATCAGTTAGCTGTAAGAGACTTAATTCTTTGTGTTCTTTCTTTACTCTTTTAACTTTTTGGTTAATCTTTGTCACTTATTGATGCTCAACACTGTGAATTAATTTTTGTGTTTGTACAAGCCATTGATTTCTTTTCTATTTCAAAATGCAGTGTACTGGATTGACGGTAGAACCTGTTACGAAAGGTCAGTATTGGTGGTTTATATCTCTGACTTACGCATGTGGTTAATCATGCAAACCTAATAAGGAAAAGAAAATGTCTCGTCATATCCACCAATCGACTTACATAGCATTTCAAGTTTGTTTTATAGATGACACAATTCCTTTATTTTATCTTATTCAGGTAAAATGTCGCATAGTGGGACTATGCCTCAAGACACAAAGATGTTAAATCCTTCCATTACTGCTTCTGCGCCTTCTGAAAAGAAGGTGAAGTTTGCAGTAGAACATTCATCAAGAAATGAGGTATCTATAGCTTGTAGTTAAACTCTATTCAAACCTTTGTCCCCTTGAAATGCTTTTTGCTTCTATACCTTCATCCTTGGTCTTCATCGCTGCAAGGCATTTCTTCGTTTGAATGTCCAAAATTTCAAATATCTGGCACAAGCATTGCGATTTTAAAGTGTTGAGCCTATGCGTATTATATCGGCATCATAATCTTGGAAGTGGTGGTCTTTGGGGGGAAGAGAAAAGAACAAACAAAACATAGTATCAATTATGTTTAGAACAGTTTACATAACATTGATGATTTCAGTTTGAGTTTCACCTTTATATAAAGTATATTAAAACTTGCAACATCCTCATGGAAGGGCTTTTAAATACCTATATGACTCCAATTTTCTGTTACAGAAATCTGTCCAGGCCTCAAATTCAGGATTTGATGGTTCCAAGGTACATCTACCTCCAATGTTGGTTAATTTTTCATTTTCATGGGCATGATGCATGCGATCATGGATCATGATGTACTACTCTATTATTTACAGGCTTTTACAGGGTCCATAGTAGAGCATACTGAGAGTATGGAGAAAAATTTGGCGCATCAAAGTACAACTTCATCACAGGTATTGCTGCCTATACACCTTTGGGAGCATGTAATAATTAAGTAGTAACGTCCATTGAGTTCTAATCAAATTTGTCCTCAGCAGCTTTCTGGTTCTCAACCGTGGAAGCCAGTGTCTAGATTCAAAATGCAAAGAAAGTAGTTTGGCGTGGTTAAGAAACATGGGAAGGCACGAAATCTAACCACTGGCTTATACTCTGAGCAGCACCAAGCAGACTTGTGGGAGAATAGAATATAGGATTGTTGTGTATTTATGATTTATGCATTGTTTGATTCACATGTATCATTGTTTGTAATTTTGGAGAACGGAGCCATGGCTGTTGAGGATAAAGAACAAAGGCCCAACTACAACCTCTTTTGAGTGGGCTTGGGTTTGCATTCTTCTGCCCTTTTAGAAGGGCTTTGGCAAATGAGAGAGAATGCTTTAAGGAGACACTGAATAAAGGGGAAAGAGACAGAATGATTATTAACTATAATAGATTAGTATTTGTATTTGTTTATTCAAAGACAGGCAAAATGATTTGCGAATCAGTTGAAAGCACATGCTAATTCCTGGAAAGTATTTAAGTTAAGCCTACCTTTTATGCAACTTTTATTCTAATAAACTGCAAGAATCACAAAAACCATATCTGAACCCGACGTGAATCGAACACGCAACCTTCTGATCTGGAGTCAGACGCGCTA